CTAGTCACAACAAAATTATATAATTGAGTTAAAGAATGAAAGAAAATATATATACAATTACATTAAAATATAAATTATGAAAAGAACCAAAGATACAATTACACATATCTCTCCTGGCATTGTAGACGCAACCTATCAAGCAAGCGACGATTTGTTTGTCCAAATAAAAAGGTGATAATTTCATCTCAAGAAATACTACACATTCCGAGGTAGTGAATGTAGTAAATAGTAGAAAAAGAACTGCTTCAGGGCATATTGATTATTTGTTTATTTCTGGCTATGCATTATCAGCTGCTAGCCCAAGACAGACGTTTTTAGAACTCAAACCTTATTCAGTTATTAAATATATTATATGGTTATACTTCTGTACTTATTATATTACTTTCTTCTTAATATGCTTATTTCTAAGTACACCAATTTGTTTTGTATAAATAAGATCATTTAAAAATATATTTATCCGTGTAATAAAATTTGATTTCTTCTAATTTCACTTTCGTTTTTAAAACGTTCATCAATTTTTAAGTTGGCAAAAAAATGTTTCATACCAATGCTCTCGTGAATCGTAATAAGACTTTACATAGTTTGAACTATATTTGGTTTTGTAACAGCTCGTGTGGGAGCCCTCTTAAGAAATTTAAAAACCCATTCTAGACCTCATTTTGGTAATTTTCTGTATATGTTATTAGGGTTGAAATTCAGAAACTGGGTACTGATTTATATAAAATCAATATTGATCACGTTACAACAATCAACAACCTGCACAGAGTTGAGCCTATCACTCCTTACAGTCCACCGGCAATTCAAGTTTTTAAGATTTTCAATAAATTACCGGCGGCCTCGAGACCCACTTGGTTGGCAGTCCGGGGTCAGAACTCGGCCTTCTCCGTTCCAGCCACCGAGGTTGGGCTCCAGGTCATCAACAGCTTAGTCAATTCAGTCCACAACGCTACCAGTATCAAAATCCAAATCTGTTCAAACTCTTACATACATTACATACATTCTTTTTTATTTTCATACAATTCACTCAGTTATTCAGCAATATATTTGGTAGGAGGGGGATGTGGTCGATGTTGTGGTGTTGATTCTAAGACATGCTTTCTGTGTTTCATTTCGCCTTCCTCAGGGCTCTACAACGGATATATAAACGTCTAATATTTTATAATTGCTTATCTGTGTAAGTGAAAATCAAATTCTCACAGATTACAGATTCTCAGTCAGTATTTAAAATTGTTTTTTCTTACCAAAATGTATAAACTTTTTTTTTCTCTTTATGTAATTTCTTATACTAAGTACAATGTTTTCAATAAATAAATAAATAGATTAATAAATAAATAAATGGCACTTATTACAAACTATTATCACAGACAAAATCAACGTGAACAAAGAGGACTAGTGAAGGTACTGTTATATTTGTCCGCGTTTGAGAAATGTCATTAAAATCTTTATTTTACATTTGTAATAAATAAATAATTAAAACTATAACCTATGATTTCTCTAATCTATTAAAAAAATTATATAAATTAAACAAATACACAACGGCTACTAGTCCTATTTATTTACGTTCTGATTTGTCTGTGATAATAGTTTGTAAAAAGTGCCAGTTATTTATTTATTAAAAACATTGTATTAGTATAAGAAATGTCAAAAGAGAGAAAAACTGTTTTTTATATGTTGATAAGAGAAACAATTTTAAATATTTCCAGAGAATCTGTAAGTTGTAAAAACAAGTTGATTTTAATTTTCACTTATACAGATGAGCCATTATAAAATATTGGATGTTTATATATCCATTGTCGAGCCCTGAGGAAGGTGGAATAAAGCACTGAAATCTTGGCAAACAACACAAGAACATTCATTGAACCGCATCCCCGATCTTATCAAATATATTGTTGAATAGAAGCTGGTCGATCACCTTTACATCATCACTCAGTTATGCTGATGAACTTGTTATTCCTCCATCGCCCTACACACGTCTAAAATAATTTGAGGGTCGTTAGGTAACTCATTATACCGACATTGGCCTTCTGACATACATATACATGCCATGTAAAAATTCTATATACATCGTAAAAGACTACTACATTGTCTATATTATACTATACTATACACCATCGAAAGACTAGAATTATAACGAGAAAGTATACCACTTCGATTAAACAGACATAAAAGCTCAATGATAATTTTAATTTTAAGCGAAAGGTCAAGATATGAGATTGAAAAACTGACGCTCGCAGAAAACTGACCTGTTGAGGGTTCTAATTTATAGGAAAAATTACAGTTAATTAAGATTTTTAGTTGAGGTACAAAAGTCAATGACACGAGCGGGATTCGAACCCACGATCTTCGGCTTGATACGCCGCTGCTCTACCACTTGAGCTATCGTGACCTCGATCCACTCGGCCATCTCAACCGCACCTTTTGAATTTTCCCTCCTTTTTGCCATTTTTCAAATGCCGTGTAATCGGATGGATCCTCGGCGACAAATGAAATGGCCAATGAGAGCTATAGTGAAATATACTTCATTTTAATTCATTAAATTCACTAATTTCGTGGTCCGCTTGACCAATTAATATATTACAATTAATTAAGGTTTTTAGTTGAAATAAAAAAGTCATTGGCACGAGCGGGAACTAAAAACCTTAATTAATTGTAATATATTAATTGGTCAAGCGGACCACGAAATTAGTGAATTTATAGGAAAAATGTTTTGAGGACCAGTATAAACCAATGAACTTCAAGCATTTTTCGTTAAATTCTTAAAAGATAATCTATCGTTTTTATATAAGTTTTTCTATTTTATATGTTGGAAAAACATTTTTGAAATGTCAAATTTAGGAGGAGACGGTGAGCGCAAAGATTTAGGCGTTGACACGACGCTCATCACTGTAAGGTAAAGGTCCGGGGTTCGAATGCTGAGGCTGTGCATTCGAACCAAGCATAATTAAAATTGGGCTTTTTTTCAACAACACCGGCCTTCCGAGGGTTCATAAAACATCATAGTTAAAATACCCTCATTAAAAGAAAAAATACTTAAAGAACAGTTTTCTGAACGGGGAAGCATGAAAAACCGGAAGAAAATTAATGTGCAAAAGTAATCAAAGTTCAATGAAACGCAAAATAAATTCGAGCGGTAAAGCAATAATAATAACCAACAACCATGATATTTTAATTCCAAGTCATTAACGCTTTTCTTCCCTTGGGCCTGAAGGAGAGTGAAAAGTCGCCTTTTACCGCCGTTTGAACTTAATTAACTCCGACAATGCTGCTTATTAAATTATTGTACTATACTTTCCTTCTTTTTCTAAATGTAGTTACTTTATTTAATATCCAAAACCTTTTGTGTTCAAGTAATTATAAAGTGCTATTAATGTTCCTGGATTTCCAATGGAAGGATAATTTGGTTCATCGTGCAAAAATGAAAGCCTAGCGCGAAAGTTTTAATACCGCTTGGATTAAGGTTTTTATTGAAAGAAAAATGGAAAATATGAAATTTCAATAATTATATTTATTATGGAACTAGTGCTTGTAAATAATTTATTTAATTGTATTGAAAAATTTTATACTAGGTCAGTTCAATTTCTGTCCCCCTCTTTATTTTAACACACGTAATGTTTTTTTTTCTAGTTTCTCGTGAGCCAAAAAGATTTGATCAAACTCTACAGGATAGCGGGATACTGATAATAATTTAACTGTTTCAAACGGCAAGACTAGTACACAAATGTTGAAAGTCTTGTTGTCGCTGAATTCAACGATGCGAACGGTTTGTAATTTGGAGTAATCGTTCGTAAAAAACCCTAGCCAAACACTGTTTTTCGAATAAACAAAATCTCCAACTTCTCCAAAAATTACCTATTTATTTATCATTTAAAATGATAGCACTAAATTACTTCCCCGTTGGCCAGAAAGAAAAATTTCGGAACTATATCGTCAAAAAACATCGATAAGCGGGACGTTCTAGATGTTGAAATGATGTTTGTAGATCGACCTGCAGATAATCAATGTAGAGTTTAAATGTTCTTTAAGGTCTTTACTAGGTGAAAGAAAGACAAAAGTGTTGGGATCACCAAGCTTTCGGCAACATTATGTTGCCATCATCAGGGCCTATTTATAAAGCCTCTTTCTAAGAAAAAATATACATAATTAATATAAATTTAACAATCAACAATTAAAACAATAATGCATACTTTCCCAAGAGAGAAGAGAAAAAAATTCTCATCGGATAAACTAATGTAAAAGTGCTTTGGTTTAGGTTATGAAGCACATGGCCAGCATTCAGCTATACATGGTGAACAAGACATCTATGTAAAGTAGTGACTAATTATTCGTATGTAACATTAACAATTGACAAAAAATAATAATTTATATATATAATAAAAAAATTTAAAATTACCTCACTAATGAATTCATATAATTACAAATCCAACTGTTTTTGTTCTTACTAGCTATTTTTGACATTAAAAACATATGTTATCACAGAGAGTATTATTTTAATGACTAGAATTACAGCTTGTTAAAATGAGAGGATTACAGAGGATTACAATTAAGATGAGACGACACAACGTCACCTCACCTAAGGTTGGACTGTTACAGTTAGTGAAGGCTACCAGGCTCTGTGCACTCTCCATTATGCGCCCTCTAACGATTGGCACACGATCTAAAGTGGTTTATAGAGTGTCCGGTGGTTGCGACGCTCAATATGTTGGACAAACAAAGCAGAAAATTCATATTAGAATGGACCAACATAGATTGGATTGTATTCATAAAAAGTTGACCGCAGGTTGTCCGCTCATGCTACAAAGAATGGACATTTTTTCAAGTTGGACTCTCCGGAGATCTTGGGTCGAGAGGTCGGTTTTGAGAGAAGACTCCTGTTGGTAAAGGTATATATCCGAGGAGTGCCTTCAATTTAAAAGGTGACGAACTAGGTTCTATCTCAACATTTGCGGGTTTGGAAATTTATAAAAAACGGAAAAAAGGTAGCGACCGTTAGAGGGCGCATAATGGAGAGTGCACTGAGCCTGGTAGCTATCCCCATCCCTAAACTAACTGTAACATGTATAACTGAATGCTGGCCATGTGCTTCATAACCTAAACCAAAGCACTTTTAAATTAGTTTTTTTCCGATGAGAATTTTTATCTCTTCTCTCTTGGGAAAGTATGCATTATTGTTTTAATTGTTGATTGTTAAATTAATATTAATTATGTATATTTTTTCTTAATAAATAGGCACTGATGATAGCAACATAATGTTGCCGAAAGCTTGGTGATCCCAACACTTTTGTCTTTCTTTTACCTAGTAAAGACCTTAAAGAAGATTTGAACTCTACATTGTTCTGGATGTTGCTCATTAAAGGGTAAAGGCCAGGATGAAATTAAAAAGTCCACTTTTCCCATGAACAGAATCATCTTTAATTTTTCTTGTAATGTAGTATTTTACTTATTGTACAATTTGCACAATATGTCGAAGACCGTAAAAACTAAATTTTAGTGTGATGATTTTAAGTTACGTGTTAATCATGGATTAAGGAATGTTAATATTTTTTGGGGATTATTCAAAAGCCTCAAACGCCAACTAATCTTTTTTGTTTACTGTTTGTTTAGTAAACATTAACTTCATTAAGTTTTCTTTAAGTTCCTCTCCATTATCCTGGAGAATTTGATCAACACTTTCTGGGTCATGAGAAATTATAGAAAAAATAAAAGTTTGTCTCTCAGAATTTTCCCAAAAATACCCCAATAAAAAATATAGGAAAGGACAGTAGATAAATCGGCCCTGGATATTACATATATTTGATAATATGTACAAAAGTAAAATTGCGAGAATAATAATAAATATGTTTCCACATTAGGAGATACGGTCCTACTGTATTTACACTGGCCAAACAGGAGGTTTTATTATATGTAGGCAATTACGACAGGGTAAACCAGTGCTGAGATTAAATAGATTAACTGTAATTTATGTTTTAATTCTATAAAACACTTTACTTATTTACCATTACAATAATAAGTTAAAAATATAATTCAAAATCTTTTTTTTAAACATGACAGACTTATTATTTATCTTGATGAGATTGATATCAGTATCTAAAAAATTAAGAAAAATGCAAATTTGAAATAAAGAAAAACAACTCAAATCCGTGCCCGCTGTCGTATCGTAATAGTAGGACGGCAGGGACTCAGTAGCTTATCCTGCAGGATTCTAGTTTTTGTAATATAGTAAATATTTAAAAAATTGTTTAAAACTTGATCGTTGTCAATCTCAATAACAGCCAATACTCTATGCAATATATAAAAACTAAGATTACATTTTCTTAAGCGTAATAATAATTTTAATATTTTTTGTTACAGAGCGTCGTATTCCACGTTTCTCAGCATCCGCTCTATCCTGACTTCTGGCAATGCGTTTCCTTTGGATTTTTTTCATCCCAAGCGCATGAAACGCTGTACAATCTTTTTTGCGTTTTTGCAATGTACTTCATTCCTCTACTGGTGATAATCACCGCCTACACGTGCATCATGTGGGAGATAGTCAAAAAGACTAGAGAAACAAAAGGTGAGAAAAAAAACTTTGCCCCTCTTTCACCGCTTTACTGAGGGGGTGAGCATGTTGTAATAGCAAAGAAATTGGCGTTTCATGTGACCAGGACGAGTCATTTTGATTTTTTTTTTTTTCAAATGGAAGCCAATACACTATTTATTATTTAACAATGACTAAGGACCCGGCGGTGGCCGCAACGGTATAGGCGTTGACACGGTGCTCATCACTGTAAGGTAAAGGTCCCGGGTTCGAACCCAACATACTTACAAATGGACTTTTTTTCAAAAACACTGGCACTCTGAGGGTTTATATAACTTCTGCTGTTGCGAACCCTCGAGTAAAAAAGTCATGGGACCAGAACTTCCAATAAACATCATGTCTTCGAAGGTCTCATATTCACAACGATTAATTATTAACCCGTGGTCATCACATTACGTGCTCTATGGGCTCTCTACTTCTAATAATGTTATGACCGTGACACTGTCACTACTCACTCAAATTCCTGAGTGGAGCCATTGAAAAAAGGTTTAAAAATAAGAATAATATCAAATGAAATGGTTTTAAGTTCTGTTCTCAAAGAAATAAATTACCAGATTTATTATTACAAATATTATAATGCCTTTTCCCTCGAAATACTAGTCGTTGCAATGCGATGTCTTTGTCAGAAAACTTTTCAAAATTTATAATTCATGAACTTTGCAATCTAATCAAGACGAGACTCGCAAATGAGAAATAAATAAGCGAGAGAAAATGCGTTAATTTTTAACGTAATAGGAATTCAAAGTGTCGGAATTGCTTTAGAAGAAGCTTACAACAAGCATAAGTAAGTAAGACCATTCAATGATTTGCAAATCAAAGGTTGATCAATTTTTATTTGTGAATGAAAACTGTTTCAAGCTGCGTCTCTTTTGTTGTACAACAAAAGTTTAATCAGCACAACGCGTCTTATTGAATTCTTTCAATCCTCACTGACAATCACTAGATGACAACTGATTGTATTCATTTTCTACTAACGAGAAACATCCAGATAGATTGAGGTTTAGAATTTAGTACACATACATCATATTGTAATTGGTTGCAGATAATTGAAATCTTGTCAGTTCTACAGATTAAGTTCCAATTAACAGCAAACCATCAGGAATTAAACTGAGCAATCAATCATACACCTTTACCAATAAAGAACCAAGGATTAGGAGGCTATAGAAAATCAATTGAATTTTTAAAGAATGATTAATGGATGAAATATATTTTACGTATATATTAAACGAGATGAGATTGATTATTGAATCAATATCCCAGTAAGATTTCTTATTAATTGTATTTGGCTAATTTTAATGTTGTCTGACTGAACTCATTTTCTTCGTTTGTTTATTATTTTTTAAAGATTTGTTATTTACATGCATTATACAAGGTTTTATAGAAATGATTTTTTTTATTCTTCTGTTTACAATATAGTAGCACGTTTTCATAATACAGAAATTACTTTTGTACGAGAATTTACTTTCTAGGTTGTACACCCAGCGGAATAAAAGTTATTAGTATTAAATATGATTATTCGGAGATCGTGATATGCGATCTGGTATGTCGTAAGTTTTAGGAAAACATTTTCTTTAAGCCAACGTTTCGATCTTTATTAAGATCATCTTCAGGGATTTACAAACATTGTTTAAATTTAACAAATACATGTAGAATATGTGTATCCGGTTAAGAGAGTAAAGCAAGATATCTATGATTTCAAAAACCCAAGCAAAATCCTACAGCACTGGCTACTCACCATTTTGAACACAAACACAATTTCAACTTCAACAATTCAAAAAGATTACAAACAGAACAAAGCAAATATAAACGTACCTATTTAAAAATGGTTTACATCATCAGGGATAACACACAGCATCAATTATAGAACAGACACATGTAAACTCAGTCGCACCTACGCCAATATTATTAATCAAATTCAATACCGATAACGTACATATATCATCATCACATCACACAAAACCTATAATATAACATATAAAACAATCATCACATTCCACACATCAAACATTTAAAAAAAGTCTAATTCTTCAAGAATTTGGCTTTACTCCGTGATTCCATTGCATATTGCTTATTCTCATGTTATATATTTTTTTTAAAATAAACTTTTAGTTTCTAATTGAATGGTCAATAGAACCAACTGGCTCCGTGCAGTACAGTTTTTGCCAAGTTATTATTCATAAAACTTGTTTTTTGGCTGATTTTGAAATTACTCGATTTGTAAATACATTTTTTTTGATTACTCGATTTACTTTAGTGTCACTCGGATGACAAAATACGAAAATATAGTTAAAATAAAATGTATTTACTGTTTGTGTTTTGCTTGCGCTTTGTTTACGTTAATTGATTAGAGCTTTTTATTTGAATGTTCCTTTAAAAGTAATTTTAGTTAATTAAATTATTTTAAGTGTTGCGTAAATGTGCATATGGAGAAAAATACCTACCTCTTAACACGAAAGGTTTTATATTGTAATTCTGTACATGTACAGAAGGCCGTGAACAGACTTCAATTCTTCAGGAAGATATTCTGCATGCCAAATAGACTGAAAAGTCTTTATTGTGCTAATGCTGCTTCTCCATTGTATTCAAGATACTTCACTTCTTGTGTTATTTCAACCTTTTACACATTTTTCCCACAAAGCCCTCATATCTCATAAAATAGCAATCCTACTTTAAATTTAATTGGGTTAATAGAAAATCCATTAAAAATCATATGGGGTTCATTTGTTATTGTTATTTTAACCTTAATCGAACAAGTATAAGTAAAATATTCGTTAGTACATAAAATTTTACGAGATTCCAAAGTTCTTGTCTAATGTTTAAGTAATGTTTTTTCATTCTGTAAATACTGACAAAAATGGCGCTCACAGAAAAGTCGCTTCCACTAATAAGTTTTCTTAAGTTTACAATGACAAAAACTAACGAATCTTTTTGGATTTTTAATGAACTTTCCATTTATGTAACAAATTTAAAGTCGGCTTAATGGGGAAGTGTTGTGAAAGGTTGATGTAACAAAACAACAACAAAAAAGAAACGAATACAATTGAGAATTAGACTATGGACAAAAGTGACTTTCTAGTCGTATTTCACATACACAATAACTTCCTGAATTATTGAAGACTGTTATTTCATTACATTCATGAAATAAATCTTTTTTTAATTACTTTACTTGTACACGTTAATTTTGTCGGAATGAATTTAATTTATTAACATTAAGGGGCAAAATTGCTGCTTTCGGACATTGTTTTTTCCTAAAGTTACACAACACAAATTTTCGCAACTCACTATATCCATTCTGAGCCGCGGTTTTCTTTTACGGTAGTAAAAAAATCATTAAATGACAAAAGTGCACCATTTTCCTTCCAGTTAAAAGCAAAACAACTTGTAAATATACGAAATCTCAAACAAAACTGATGAATAAAAAATCCTTTTTCCTAATCCTTTTTCGGCGTGTATAATGAGTAAATATTGATTACATTGATTCAGAATCTAAGAAGAATGAAATCTGCATCTAATATGAAATTATCAGAGTGATTGTTACTTGTACTTTTAAATTAAATTTAATATTCAATTGGCATTTAGAGTCAGAATTACATTATTTCATTTCAGCCTTTTCCTTGGGAGTTTTAATTTTCAAATCGAAGCAATCAGCGTTATTAAGCTTTTGCAATGATTTCCATTGCCATGATTCCAATTTCAAAGCCAATTTTTTATCTTTGGCGATTGATTAGTCATACATGTAATAAATATTCAGTCGAGCCAAATTTCACTTTAATCGAAATCGCATTTTTGATTACATTAATTCTGTCCAATTACAGTATGTTCAATTTTCGTAGTAAGCATAATGATTTTTAATAAATTTTGTCATAAAATCATTGCCTTGTAGACATAAGACGTTATTCATTTACCAATTATTGAGTTGAGGATCACTCACGCGATTGCATGATATTTCATGGTTTGTTGCCTATCATAGCCATTTAATTTAATTGGTTTCTATTTTTTATTTAAAACATTTTTTTAATTAATAGTAGAATAACGTTGCTCATTTTACTCTTTATAATTTTGAACTGATTCGATTTTGTTCAAGAAAAAAAATAAACCGCAGGGTTCACTCTACTTAGTTAAAATAAACCATGCGTTTAATGCTACCCTTGAATGTAACAAAATATTATTTCTATTTAAGAAGAAAAAATAGTACGTGGGTCACGCTATCCGAAATTGCTGACATTTAGAAAAAGCAGCTTGAAAATCTTCTCATGTGGGAAACATGTGTTAATTTACTCATACGAAATAGAAGATAATAAAAGAATATTAATCAAAATATTTAGTGGTCTAATTGACGAAATTACTTATTGCGATTAATTATTCTTTTTATGAAAGGTCTTGGCTGAGATGATAAAGTTAGTGTCACGAGCGGGATTCGAACCCACGACCTTCGGCCCAATACATCGCTACTCGAACCACTTGGGCAATCGTGACTTTGATCGAATCCCGAAAGAATCGAATGGTTAGAATCTCGCTCGTGACACTAACTTTTTCATCTCAGCCAAGACCTTACATAAAAAGAATAATTAATAGAAGTAAAAGTATAGGTAAACAGTTTGAAAATAGTTTTTCGATAGCCTAACACGTATTGCTACTATGACTTTTCGGTTTCGTTTTAGTAATTGAGCTGGAACGAAATTCAGTTTCAGATTTTTAAGTATCTTGGTGTACACCAAGGCTTATGCAATTCTTGTCTGTATAGTAAGAGAATATTTTATATGCGGAATACGTCCATTAAAGCTTCACACCCTTGTTCGAAGGAAATCCGTATTGAGTATCATTTGTAAAAAATTGTTGTTTTCTGAGAAACTTGAACTTGCAATACAAATATTTCGAATTAACAATTTAATAAAAGTTCACATACCTATTTGAAGATATTTTTTGTATCTAGTTAAAATATTATGACTAAAGACCAAATTTTTCTGCAGTAAAAA